AAGAAGAAGAAGAAGCAGGAGGAGGAGGAAGAAGGAAGAGAAAGCGGAAGAAAGAGGAAGAGGATAGTATCTACGTGTTTCAAGATGTGATCTTTAGCATCTTGATGACTCTTCACTTTATCCTCAGACAAACATCAACTTAATAAGAAGAGCGTGTGTGTGTATATATGTGTTAGAGGTGCGAATAAAGCTCCACATTGAAATAAATGGGAGCTATGATAGACTTATGAGGGAGTGGGCTACTCCACTCATTAGGTTAACCTTTTGAGTTAAAACCCCAATCCCTTATGATAGAGCCTAGGATCCGAACAAGTGGTATCAGAGCTGAGACCTAAATATTACCAAGTGTATGCACGAGATGAATCTGATGTGCCAAATGAAAGTGTGGGCCCCACGTCGCGATGGTGGAAAAAAATCCGTTAACACTCGAGGCGGACCTTCTCTTTAGAGACGCGGGGAGACCTCGAGGTTGTTGTGCATACCATGAAACGCGAAGATATGCGATGGAGAGCACACGCTAGTAAGATCTTCATGTAATGTAATGGAGGTGCGATGGAGTATCCAATAGACGGAATGAGTTATCGTTCGAAGGGGGGCCATGGTACTTCATTAGAAGGGGGATTGTTAGAGGTGCAAACAAAGTCCCACATTAGAACAAATGGGAGCTATGACGAATTTATAAGGGAGTGGGTTATTCCACTCACTAGGCTAACCTTTTGAATTGGAACCTCAATCCCTTTTGGTGGGGCCCATGGTCCGAACAAGAAGTGAGACTCCACATGCAAAACTGACACAACACATTTTAGAAGCCCAACTTGGCCCATAAGGTTATCCTATTGAGTCTTGAGTCCTTCCATGTATATAAATCATTTCACATCTCCACCCACTTTCCATGTGGGACAACACACGTGCACTTTTCTCAACAATCTCCCCCTCATGTGTGTGTTCACCGAGCTCCTCCTGAACTAAAGTTTTAAGTAGCCGACACATGCAAGCGGGAGCCAACTCGAGCATGAGAAAGAGAGCCGAAACCATGTAAGCCCACCAAATGCTCCACCATCTGCACCTGTAACTACAACCGAGTGTGATCGCTTAACCCGAACCAACCACCGACTCTGATACCATTTGTTGGGGAGACTCCACATACGAAACTAACCCAACACACTTCAGGAGCCCAATTTAACCCAAAAGGTTAACCTATTGAGTCTTGAGTCCTTCTATGTATATAAAACATTTCACATCTCTACCTATTTTTTATATGAGACAACACATATGCACTTTTCTCAACGATATATATATTATATGTGTGTGTGTGTGTAATGTCACAATTTATCATCAAGGTAGGGTAGGATAACATGCATGTTACATGTGGACAGGCACATTATTATTAATTCTGTCTTGAATGGTTTCGAATCTATTGTTTTCGAACAATTATTATTTTGCCATTATAAATACATGCATACATCTAAACATATAGACACACACAGATATATTAATAAACCAGCAGTAGAGAATTGCAGACAACACATGACTATGATTGCAAAAGGCCGCTTATAACAAATTGTCACAGTGCATAGAAAAAGGGGGGGAAAAAAAAGTATAACCCAGTACATCAGAAATAGTGTTCTTCTATAGCCACACAGTATAGAAACAGAAATTATCATCGCCGAATAATTTGAGGCCATCCTTTCATTTGTGGCTTGTATGCATAATGCACTTCAACCCCCACCTTATAATGGCATTATTTTATGATAAATTGGTGATGTGCATCTTTCTTCGTACATAGATATTTCAGACGATGTTGATGATATTGAAAACAACGTTAAAACTAACACCTAAATAATTAGAATTTTTTCATATGTCACTTAGCAAATTGTAACCATGTTTCTTTTGTTGTGTGCGCGGGGGGACCGGACCGGGCATCAGGGGTTAAGACGCTTTGTGTCGTAATAATAATGATCATAAGATGAAAAAACATACACTACAAAAGAAAAAAAGAAGTGGACTTTTCATGTTGTGCTATTTGTTTTCTTTTCTTGTATTTTGTTTGATTTCCGCACATGAAGACCTGTATTCCATAGCATTCGACCTTTAATGAATGACGAAAACTGCGTGCAAAAATTTAAAAGTGGATTCTTTTGCTAGGGCTGTCGGTCCATAAATTAATTATAATTGACTGGAGATATTATTTTCCTATACTGATCTTTTTACGGGTTAATTACACAAATAGTCCCTGAAGTTTATCTCAATTCCTCTTTAATCTATGACTTTTCAAACGTCTGACACAATTAGTCCTTGAAATTTTATTTTATTTCAGTTTCGGTCTTTTCATTTATTAGGTGTTAAAATTTGATAGAATTTGTATAATTAAAATTAGAAACAGTTAAAACTTTTATTTTTTTTGTATCGTTTTAGCCCCTAAACTTTATATGTCTCCAATTTTGATCCCTAATTTTTATAAATTCTGTCAAATATTTAACACCAAGCTAACAAGTATTTAAGATAGAAGAGAGGGAAAAGAATAACAATTCAACGATTTCAAAGAATTACAGAAAGGACTCGGTCTTAGACAGCTTGGAAAGAGATTGATTGCTAATAAAATTGTAAAAAGTACACTATGTAGCTAATTAACTAGATAATGGAGTTGAGATCTCGCAAATTTTTTGAATATTTTAATAATGGAAAAATTACAAAGTGATATTCATGTTTTATACTATAAAATTACTTTGCTTTAATGATGTTAATTTTTTATAGTTTATAAAATTTTCTTTTTTCTTTTTTTTTTTGGCTATATTTTAGCATGATTAGTAAAATTTTTCTATATATCTGACTTTCGCGTATTATATATGTGTGTGTGTGTGTGTGCGCGTTGCATATGTATTCGAAATCTTACTAGACGTTGTGGCTGCAAGCATGGATAGCAACAATTTCACACCTAACTACACAATAAGGTGTAAAATTCAAATCTCCACGCACTGAATTCAAAAAAAAAAAAAAAAAAATCTTACTAGCGTCATGGTATTTGATATGCATGTACTATATAAGTAAATTATAATTCAGCCGAAAAAATATATAAATATATTATAAATATATATACATATACGTGTTTGTATTTTCTATGCAACAAAATTTATATATACATATATATATATATACATATATATATATATATAACAAGCCTGTAAGTGATAGAAGAAAAACATTTTCTTTCTACTAACCTGCATGCCCTTTGTAAATGATCCAAGCAAATTTCTGCATTTTGATTTTGCTGAAAGTTATTGCAAATTTATTGTATAAACCTATTTTAAATATATTCAATTATAAAACGTAGTACTCTAAGAAGAAAAGTGCGAGAATTTATTCAAACCTTGCAGTAGTAATTTGCTCATATATAGAATATCAAGCTTGTAATTTTCAGCAACAAAGAGGGTAAAAAAATCAATACTCAAAAATACAAAAACCAAATGTGCATGTGATTGGGAAAGTTCAGAACGGTGGGTAAGTGCTGCTATATATTACCTTTTATAGATGTTCTATCCTTGTCATTTCAAGTCCAATTCGTATTCTGCATATACAATGCACTTCGTATATATTATTAACATGTACAAATATAGAAGTTAGTTAGAAGTGATCTACTTGCAATAAATTATAATTCCAAATTTAAACTAGCCACACATTATATATTGAGCTTCTGTTTATTTAGTAGTAGTAGTACTACACACATAAACACTATAATGCTTTAAAGACATATTAGTAGTACTGCACATAGAAGTTTGTTCAAGATTCAAGATATCACTGAACACTTCCGTCAAAAGGAATCAAAAACCTTTGGTTTTTACTGTACAAAACAAAGCTGATCCCCCGGTTTTTCCTTTTCTCTGTCGTAAAACTTGCAGGCCAAACACAGCAAGTCATCACTGCTGATGGCGATAAACGTGTTCTTTATGGTGATAGCGACATTGTGTATATATCTATGTATGTATATATAATTATATATTATATGCATGGGCCAGTCAAAAAGGCAAAACCACCCTTCTAATATAAAATAGTATATTTTAATGCCCACTAATTTTGTTCTGGATTTGTGTTTGTGGGAGTTGGTTTTGGTTTTGGACAAGTCACGTGTGCAAGGTTGAATTGGTGGAGGAGTAGCTACTAGGTAGTAGTACTGTTTGTAATTTGCTGATCATCTATTGTACATGCAATATAATAGAATAGACACCCACATAATACACACGGTCTTCGGCAAAACCTAGCTAAGTGCTTGATTTAGCCCACTATGTATCTCTCTAAAATGGCCAACCTATACATAGACCCTCCATTAGTATTGGCCACCACACATTGAAAGCCTAAAAGCTAGTCAGTCTTTCTCTCTCTTGGTCGAAAATATATTATTATTTAATTAACGAGTCTTTTCATAAAAAGAAAATAAAAGGGTCTAAAGGTTTTATTTTTATTTTTATCTTTCTTTCTCCCTCTCTTATGTGTGAAAATTAACGGGTCTAAAAGTTGAAAGGATTCCCATCAATCTCCTGAATTTGTTTTGGTTAGTCATGATCACTCCCTCATTTGCTTACGCTGCTTCCACATTATGTTGCACAAACCCACATACTATTCTGTACCGTTTCATGTAATCAAAAGTCATAACAATTAACACGTATCCATTTTTGTACGTAACATTAACCCCAAGGATAACATCAAGATACAAAGGCTAATTATTCGAGAAAGTATAACAAAATTATTTAACTAGTAAAGCCAAGTGTCAAAATACTAAACGAAAAAAAGGAAATTATTTAAAAAAAAGTTACAAAAATATCAAAGAAACAAGGTGTAGAGAGGACTTATTACTATGTAAGTACTCGTTCAATGGTTGAACCAGGTAATCAAGTTCTAACCAGAAATTTATATATATATATCTCCCGTAACTCTGTCCCATTATTAGTCTCCCTCTTTCTTGAGGACATCAATTTTCCCCGGTTAAAGTTTCGAACTGTACGGCCAACACCATGACCAGTACAACTACCACTACCACCACTAAGCAAGATGTGATCTTCACTGATCCAAATAATTTCGGCCTCCCAAAGAAGCCGACCAAGAAGGACCGGCACAGCAAGATTTACACCGCGCAGGGGCTTAGAGATCGCCGGGTGAGGCTCTCGATCGACATCGCCCGCGAGTTCTTCGACCTCCATGACATGCTAGGGTTTGACAAGGCCAGCAAGACCCTGGAATGGCTTCTCACCAAGTCCAAGAAAGCCATCAAAGAGCTCTCTAGGAGTAAGCTCAGAACCCATGATCATCACGGCCATGTTATGACCAAGAGTACTGCTTTATTGTCTTCCGCAGCTAACTCAGACCAGTGTGAATTCAACGAAGTCGCTGCCGAGCACAATGTTTCTCCAGAAGATAAAGATGATCATAATAACCTAGAAGAAGAGGAAGAAGAAGAAGAAGAAGAAGAAGAAGAAGAAGAAGAAGAAGAAGAAGAAGAAGAAGAAGAAGAAGAAGAAGAAGAAGAAGAAGAAGAAGAAGAAGAAGAAGAAGAAGAAGAAGAAGAAGAAGACGGCGTGTTATTAGCTCCAAAAAGAAAGTGCCTAGAAGAGAAAATCGATATGGAGACGTTGAGCGAGTCGGCTTTGATGAGTCTCCTCGCGAAGGAGGCGAGGGCAAAGGCGCGGGCGAGGGCAAGGGCAAGAACCAAAGAAAAGAAGCACAACTATTGCACTAGTAGTTATAATAGTAATAAAATTAGGTCGAATTATAATATGGGAAAATGCGCAGGTTGGAGCTCTCAGATCTCGAACCAACTCTTCAGAACAGTAACGAGCCACCTTGATCAAGATCAAACTCTAAGATCCCCAAACTTGGTCGGGGAAATTAGCCAGGAGAAAGAAGCTGGCCTTTTTCGGATGAGGTCTAATGCTCGTAAAGATGATGATGATGATGATCAAGAAGAGCCTAGTGTTGTGATGATCAAGAGGAACAAGTTGAAGTTTCCTTTGATTTCTAGCGGTACTTATGATCACCATCAGGGACAGTTTTGTGGGATCTCAAAAGGTGAATCTTCGAACAGCGCTATGATCTACTCTTCTCCAAGCTTATTATTGACTCAAAATTGGGACAACAACAACAGCAACAATATCAGTACGGCCTCTCCACACTCGTCCAGCTTTTGCTTGCCGACGTGAATCTTTCAAAGCTGTAAGGTGTCCAAACCGCATATTGTACTCTTTTGTCAAGACTCGGCGTTATATTTTTACTTTATATAGATACATATATATATATATATATGTATATATATTGTTGGTCATCACTTTTCACATCTGTATAGTGATTTCAGCATCAAACAATGATCAATATTTGCAGAAGAAGATCAAATCTGTGGCCAAGACTTGAGAGGGGAGATTCATGATCAGATACACAAGGTTCGAAGGGAATATATATATATATATATGTATATATATTGTTGGTCATCACTTTTCACATCTGTATAGTGATTTCAGCATCAAACAATGATCAATATTTGCAGAAGAAGATCAAATCTGTGGCCAAGACTTGAGAGGGGAGATTCATGATCAGATACACAAGGTTCGAAGGGAATATATTCAATGTCTCTACTTCTAAAGCTAGCTAGTGAGTACTCATGATGAAGATGCGTAAGATATCATCATTCCTTTGTTATGTTTTGAGCTTAATTTATATGTATTGGACAAGTAGTAGTTAGTACTTTAATTTGAACGCTAGCTTAATTATATGCATTTTGAAGTATTGATTAATGATCTCCACTGTTTTTGGATGCTTTGAAGTACTTATATCTAATTTCTCTGGAATTTTATTCCCCCTTTTTCTTGAGTTCTCTTTACTTGGTCATGATGCGTATATATGACAACTTGGCTTGAAAGATGAATTTTCAGAAAATGGTATAAGTTTGAGGTTTTCTGCAGGAAAAAAAAAAAAAAAACAAAAGCACACACATAAAAAACAAAACAAAACCAAACAACTATATATGCCAATTTGTCTAATTAAAAGAGTATATAAGTTTAATTGAGAATTTTGGTTGCAGATGAGAGATATTTCCTGTTAACTAAAAGTTGATTGATAATTTGATGAGGATTATTCATGAACAGATAGCAGGAAACTTCTAAAACCAGTCGTGTAATGTGGCTACACTAAAGAAATTAAAGTTTTTGGAGTCTAATCAATATGATATTTTCACATCATGTCAAAATACATTATGACGTCAACACACTCATATAGAAGTTTTTAATATTTGAAACCTTTGGTGTACGTATAATAATTAGTAATTTCCTTGGGAAATAGCATTCAAGTTGAGAAACTAAAACGATGTAAGCCATATGCAGAATGCGTCATGAAATTCAATCTTGACAATGTTAGGGAGTTCAAAAAGTACTTAAGCCTAACAATTAAAAAAAAAATCCAAACTCAAGCTCAGATTTGATATGGCTAATACTTATTAATAATTCGAAACTCCTATATGCATCAAATGCGAGCTAAAACTTTAGTATTTAATTTTTATTTTTGAAGTTTCCTGCTCTTCGTACGGACTGAAAATTACTCTAGTGTTCCTAGTACTACAAATGATATATCATAACTAATTATGACTGTTTTTGGTAATCGGGATTATAACTATCAACCTGAAGTATATTTTCTGTAGCCAAGAACATAAGTAAATGTCCAATTTGACACAAAATTGTGTTATATAGCCACTAACTGATAGACTAAAAAGCTATGTCATTCTTACCAATTGCTTTGACCTGTTGAAGCTTGTAAGGTAATACAATGAGCTTGTTGCCATTTAATTAATTTGTGGTATACGTTGTGATCCTCATGTTTTTGCGTTTCATTATTGAATTGAGACACATGAGAGATGTAGTACGTATACAATATTGTGTGTGTGTGTGTGTATAATATTAGAGACATACATTTACATGCTCTCCAACAGTAAAACCAGAAACAAACAGAATAGAACATGAGCAAGTCTGCTGTGGTTACACCACACTATATTTATTCTTTTCTGTTCAGCTGTTAACTCTAATGCAAAGGTAATTACCAAAATATTGTTTTTCTTATTTATAAATTTAGCATGTAATTGTCTTATCCCAAAATCATTTAAGAATAACTTGACTATATATAGTCTGGAAAACTTACTTTATGCACTCCGGATCATGAACTTGTAATAGCTTCAACATACAACTTATAAGTATTGTTCTCTCTTAAGTGTCTAGATCTCTGTCTCCTGTAAATATAAGCTTAAGATTGTATGAAAAAAAAAAAAAAAAAAATAAAAATAAAAATAAAAAAAAAAATAGGAAGTTTTGATCTATGCGTACATTTTGTATTTAGATGTCAACCTTTTGAACATTTGCGTGGTCGAAGGGAGAGAAAAATGGAGAGAAGTCGTTTCTCTTGTTCAAGATACCATTTATGCCTGGTTGGTTTAGTTTCCTTCAATAATAAAAGGTACTGAAGTAGTTACTTTCCAAAATTAAGTGTATATAGTTTCCTTCAGAAATCTCTCCAAACTTAGTTGGAATTATTTGGAAGAATTTGAATCCTTTACCTATTCATTCCCTCCTTTTATCTTTCCGACAAAACAATCATAGATTCTGATTAATTTGTTCTTCTGAACCCTATTGCTCCGTCTACTTTTCCCTCTTATCAAGTAAATTGTAAGCATGTTATCCAGAAGTAAAAATAATTGTTCATTCCAAAAGTATGAATATCTTAACCGTACTTGCCTCCTTTAACAAAAAGACATGTCATGGCATTTTTCCTTCCTTCCTTGCAATATTACTGACTTTCTGTCATATCATTCTCTTAAGTACTGAAATTTTCAGAGGATTTTCTGGTGAATAAAATAAGGATATATAAATAATTCTATAATAGTCTGCTTGCTGTGTAAGTATTAATGAAAAGGAGACTAACAACAGTCAAGGCTAGTTGGGAACAATAACATTGAAGAAATTAGTTAACAACTTTCCGATAAAGATACTGTTTGTATATACGACTCTGGAAACTATTCTATTTTCAAAAATTTTGTGTTTTTTGTAATAACATATAACTGATTCTACATGTATTTATATATGGTATTGATGAATAAATGGCGATAAGTATATTGGTGCAGATTTGTTGCTTGGTGATAGAAAGGTGGTTGTAAGTAATATGTTGAATATACAGTACCAAATATTTGAAGATTTTCAAAAGAAAGAAAGATGATAATGATGTGTTTTCAAGGTTACTTATTAGAATTTTGGTAGATATGACGCTTCTCGTCACATTCTTCCTGCAGATCATTAACTAAAAACGAGAAAGAGTATGTGTGTCTTCATCTATTTAGCAGTAATTAGTCTAAGGTTTTATTTTGTTCATGTGTTTTGTTAAAGAACTGAACTCCGAGTTTTAGCTGACAGAAACTAAGAAAAACTAATTCATAAGGATTTTCATATATACAACTCTTCATGTAATAAGAATAAGAGTACAATTAAACACACAGCTTTAAACTAGTTTGATACATATTTCTATTAGTTGTGTGATCAATTCCATAGTGATACTTTCTATAGCTAGATTATTAGAAAAGGGTGAAATTTTGCATAGATTGTTTTGTGTTACTATTGTTATTAAACAAGTTAATTTTGTGTTATTTTAATAACGCATGCATGAGGCTACTATAACCTATAATGTATCGATCTTTGATAGAGATATAGTAGATCAGCCGGTTGTTCTCTTTTTCATTTTTTTATTTGGTTTCTGTTTTTGTTTTGGCTTGTGGCTACTGTGCCTTTTGGTTTCTTTTATATAACCTATAATGTATCAGATATATGCGATCAAGCATGCATATAAAAACTTAACTTTGTGAGGACCTCTTCTTATTTTCTTTAAATTAATTTCACTATTTCTTTAACTATGTCTGCTGGTCTGCTATAGGTTGTGTTTCCTATTTTAAGACCTTTAGTTTTTTTTTTTTTTTTTTGCTCTTTTTGTTATCAAGACCTTTAGTTATTGTGATTATGATATCTGGCTGGTTAGCTAGTGGATATATATATATATATATATATATGAGACCACAGAAATATTCACCATTTTGCTTGTTCTTATGTTCAAAAACTTGGCTTTGGAAAGAGTAAAATCCTATATAGACTATGTTTAGTTAAAATCTGGGATTGACGAGCATGCCTATATATACATGCCTCTTTTTAGGAAGCTCAACTTGATATGAAAAGGCAGAGATATATACAAATGCACATACATATATTAGCCTAGTACTTTCCTTAGCATTGATACGGTGTTTTAGTTATTTCATAAGCTTATAATAGGGCACAAGGTACTATCTACATCGAAACAGCCTTCATTAGTTATTATGTTGGTTATAGTCAGCAGAGAGACATCTAAAAATTTCAATAACTACAAGTGATTACAAGTTCTGTAGGGAGCAAACCCTACAAAGTGTATATAAGCCGATCTAGGCTAATTTTTAAAAATACCTCTTAAAATGTAGCCTTTTTTATTTCGACCATTTAACATTAGTCTATATATTTCTACTTTTTAGATTAGTTAGAACTAATCAGGAGGTAAATTTTTTTAAAATACATACTTTTAATAAGTTAGATATTTAAAGAGATAAAATCTGTAATTTTCTCATCTATTTATTTATGTGCTAAATAATATATATATATACAAGCACATATATAAGTATATATATATAATACAAACATATACCGAAAAATGAAAATTGCAAAATTTTGGTGCCAACAGATCATTTAACAGTAATATTACTGTAATACGATACGTGATTCTGTGAACCATGTTTCCCTAAACAGCCGCAATATCCATACAGTAGCACCAGAGAGCTGTAACTCTAAGAAACAAATTTTGAAATATAATTTTATTTTCCTTTCCAATTTATCCACATCAATTATATATAGACCAGCCAACACACTATAGGCTGTCCCACGTGCATTGGAAAAAAAAAAGAGGGTGAAAATCTGCATTGTGATGTGATGTACTTAAGGAAAGAGAAAGCAACAATACACGGGAAAACTTTCTATCCGACATTAACATGCATTTATAACTTTAGTTTTCTCTAATACGTACTGCCTTATACGCGTTTTTTAGGCAGTACAAATACACTAGTTAATAGTCAATACAATACAATTTGTTACTAGCATTCTTAATTTTATGTATATTTGACACATTGCCAAAAAAAATCAAATTTTTAAAGAAGGTACATTCTACTTTTAGTACAAATAGTATATATGCCTGTCCGCTACTTGCAATTTCTCAAACAACTTTTCCGGATATTGTGTTCAATTGATACATCTTTTTAACACCTTATAATTTTTTTTCTTCTTCTTTTCCTTTTTTTTTTTTTTTCCCTCATTAGCTTTCCCTTGTGACTGTCATAATTATAGTAC